GTCTTGACGCTTAAACGCAATTTACTTATGCTTGAGCTTACGCCCATGCACTCCACATGTTTAAACCTATTAAATCTGTTGCACTTCCCTATATACTCCTCGCCATACTAAGTAGGCACTCAATTTTTAACTTGTGGCAAGAATATTTGAATACAAAAACATCACGAAAGGCTGTTTGGCAAAGTAAGAGTGTGTAATTTGAACGACATCAACCGTCAGCCGTGAGGCCAAACATTCTTCACTGCCATCAGATAGCATATCGAGTTGAGTGTCGTTGTGCATCCATAAGAGCGGCTACTGTCGAGCCATTGCTGCCATACATGTCTCCACACTTGCTGTGCGTTTGTTATTGCGTATGCATGTTGTTGATGATGTGTGTGATTGGAATATAGTGTGTTGGCACTTGGGCCACTACTAAATCGGACGCTTCACTCATCCGACACGTCCGCTCCCGCCCGCGCTCTGAATAACAGTCTTCCTCCTGCCACACATCTTTAACAGTCAAATACAAGTCTAAATGCTTGTCTGTCCAGCCATGCCACCGTTACTATGCTTGATTGGCTCAATTGATGCTATTTGAACTCTGACCGAGACGATGCTGCGGTGCTGTGCCGCTACAAGCACTTAAATTTCCCCATTTTTAAATGAGTTTACAACCTCAGCTGGAAGTGACGCGTACTCGTGTATACACTAAACGGGCGCGATCCAAGACGCCTAACGATGAAAACACTAAAGTCAATTACATACCGACATACATGCAATCATGCATACAAATGACGATCGTATATTAATTTCTAGATACACACACATATGCACATACATATACTCGTACACATGCTTGTAGTGTGTGTGTGTCCGTGTGGAAACAACAGTTGCAAGTGGCAAACAGTAAAAATTCGGGCCGCACCTTCCTCAGGCTTCTACTTGCTCTTTTGTCTTTTTTCACTCCCTCTCACTCTTTCTCTATATCTCTTTCACACGTTCTCCCTTGTATTATGCTATGATAGCTGCAAAAGAATGATTAAGAAATGCATGGCTTGTTCTAGTCGTACGAATACGTGTTAGAGTCATTTGTCAGCTCGGTTCGTGCAATATTTTGTGGCATCCAGGAGCAGCGGTTAATGATCTGCTAAATATGTTGATAACAAACAATGTGAGCACAATGTTATTATATATGTATTTGGTTTGTACCGACTTGAGTTGGTTCGGAGCGTGTTAAGGGTTAAAATTTTTAGCAGTAAATAGTTTGACCCCTGAAATACTTGTATTATGCAGTTCAGAGTGGTCCATTATGGGTATATTGCTTTGCCATGTAATTATTTGTTAGATTCATAATAAGATTTTTTGGGTTTAGTATTGAACTTCTGTTCAAGTACCACCCCTCTCTCTCTGTTTTAAGTTAACGGTTCTTAAGTTTCTTACCTTTGAATTGATTGACAATCGGAATTAAAATTGGTGGATAACTCATACTGTATCAGGGAACATTGGTGTCCTTAAATAAAATTAACTAAGATTTATGTGAGAGTCCCTTGTTTCTTTGACGGGCGAATGGATAGGCATAAAGAATTACATTAATATACTTTATTATATTTCATAATTGATGTTTACTTGGAGGACAACGTAATTTGGTGTAGGTGCTACTTACTATGATACGATCAAAAGAGGGTTAGATCGCCGAAACAACAGCCCTTGGCCGGATAAAATCCGCGGCAATTCTGGTATCGTAGAACCGGCTGTCGTGGGAATTTATTTGGTGTATGTCAATAAGGCTTATTTTGTCGGCGACCGTCCCGTTTGTAGATACTATCCCGATTTCCTTAAAACTTGCTTGGTTTCGCTCAATATTGTCTTTAAATTTAGAAAACCCAAAAATGGTGAGTTTTCAGCTCAAATATTAAAGCTATATTTGTCCTTCCGCCATGAAAGGCACAAAATATGCGACTATTTAATGTGTGTGTTCTGAGTTTTTTTATCAACTACTTATAAATTGCAGAAAGTTTATGGGGTTTCTCAAAAAAAGCATCGAATATGCAGATCACACGGTTAGCGACCAGGAGCAATGATTCATCAAACTCGCCGCTAAACAAATTGATGGCCTCCTTCAGAAGGGAACAAGGCCTAAGCTAAGCTCGGTATACTCAAAATAATATAAAAGCATCCAATTACATCAAGATATTTAGAACAAAATATATATGAAACTTTTAAATTTGTAGATAATATGTAGCACAGGCTCTGATTAATTTTACTTTGTAACACATTTGCCATCCTTTCATAACACAGGTTTTTTGGACGCTTAAATTATTAACGTTCAAATTATAAGATTCTCTCAATCTAAGGCCCGTGAGAAGTCTGTTGAAATATACAAATTGTAATCATCAAAACAATAATTCATTCGGTATTAATATTTTAGATTTTTCTTCATATATATATAGAAGCACTATTGGACCTGAATTCGCCAACCAATGAATTATGACTTTTAGAACAAAACTAACTTAAGATTTTGATTTATGAGCTTTCAAATCAGCTCACAGGCCGATCACACATTCAATCAGGTCTTTTCTGGAATCCCCTTGTGCTCTAAAATTTACATATGTTACATATAAGCATGTAAACTGCCACCTGTGTCTGTTTACTGAACTGTTGCAACTTTCAAAATGGTGTCTAAAAAACATCTTTATACCCTGAACAGGGCATACCCATTAAGTTTGCCACGAAGTTTGTAACGCCCATAAAGAAACGTTGGATACCCTATAAAGTATTGTATACCTATGTCCGAATATAAATAATCAGCGTGACGAGCTGAGTCGATTTGTGCGATTTCTGTATATACGCGAAGTAATCTCTCAGATATCGATCTTAAATTTTGCACACATCTTTTTCTCCCCAAGAAACTGTTCATTTGTCGGTAATGCTGATATCAGACTACTATAGCATATAGCTGCCATACAAATTGACCTATCAACATCCAGTCCTAGTATGGAAAACTGTATTATTTGACATATCTTAACAAAATTTGGCATGGATTGTTGTCCAAGGCATTATGATCTCTGAGCAGATGGTAATTGTTGTCCAAAACAAAGCTTTAATCTGCGAACAAATTGTTCAGATCGGACCACTATAGCATATAGCTGCAATACAAACTGATGGATCAAAATCATGTTGATGTTAATACTCTTTTATGCTAACAGAAATGCACCTTCAAAGGATATTATGGTTTCGATGCTGCTGTAAACTTTAGTACTTTTTCTTATTTAAAAAATGCTTTTTGATCAATATACAGTTATATTATAGTTACAAAAATAGCTTTTCCTACCGTTGATCACGTTTCCTATAACAAGTAATTGCTTTATTCTCTGCGTCTGCTGCTTGTCTTCCACCATAACTTCTTTGTTAACAGTCGCATAATAATCTTTCTCACTTCTTGCACTTCAATTTATTATATTATTATAATATTGCCTTATTTTACTAATTAAATATTTATTTTATCATAAATATATAGTATAATAACCGAAATTATATACTTGTTGGGAATTTACAGAATATAATAGTTGTGAATTTGCGTGGTTGAAGTTCACTGCAAATATTTGTTGTAGTAAACACTGTAAGTAATATACTAACTATTATTACTCTGTTAATTAACACAAGAGGGGATAGTAATAACTTTATTTCTTTAATATTTAACACAATTTTGTAGTTAATTTATATTAACACTTCACTAAAGCACCATGCAACAGCACTATTTTCACTTTATGTCAAATAACAGCTGATTGCCGGCATAATTACTCGTTTGCGGCGGAAACTGAAGCGAATACTCGTAGAAAGGAAGCGGAAATATGGTTGTATTTAAAATGTTTGTTCTACAGATAGACGGTATTAGCCAATGGTTAGTTCAGTGATTAGTTTCGGGTTTTAATTTTTTAGTAAAGCTTTTTATATATGCTTTGAAAAGCTTATTATAATTAATAAACAAATAATTATTGTTTTTAATTAATGGTAATTTAATAATAATTGTTATGGTATATATATATATATAAAAGTAATGGTTATCATTTAAAATTAATAATAATGATTATAATAAATATTTAATAGTAATTATTATCATTTATATAATTAATTATAATATGTGTTTTCATAATACTTAGTTCTATAATTGATATTAAAAAAGAACGATTATTTTTTACAATTGCGAGTTTCCTTAGAATAATTGAGGGTTCCTATTTATGTTCATTGTTATTACTTCTAAGAAAAAATTCCCTTTGGGGTGTGGTATTTATGTATATTTGTATGTACTATATTCATATTATATTCTAGTGAGAATAAATCTTGCACTTTGTAGTAAGAGCGTGAATAGCGGAAGACGGAACAATGTGAGCGTAGTGTTTCGTTGTCAATAATATTGACAGAGTGGACGTTGCAATTTTTTTAACGGTACGGACATAAAAGTACTGTTAAAAATTTGCATCAAATTGATAAATATGTTCTTTCATACTATTTGATATATTATTATGAAAAATTAACTGCCGTGTCTTTAAATGCGAGAAAAGATTACTACAGATTTTTTATTTTCTTCTTTTTGTTGTTGTTCTTGTTATTGGAGTTCCAGAAGAAACTCCCCAAACAATTGAGCATTGCTGTCGAGTTGATAGTTCTTGTTTGCTTAAAAATCCTGTTACGTTACTATTAGCTGTACCTGGGTGTCGTGGGGAGAACCTTTCTCAATAAAGCGCTGGGTTCTAATTATAAATATTTCATGCACTATAATAACGCCAGAATTCCGTAGATTATTTGTCACTCCCACAACATAACGGTTCAAAGCCTTAAATACTCACATTTTACATAACTACTAACGCTCAAAATGTAGGTTATTAAATATCGGTAATGTCTTCCAATGCAATTGGGCATAACTTCTGCTTACGGTAACCTGTTGTACGCCAGTGTGCTGTGCAATTTTCTTTCACTTACTTGCATTTGCTGCGCTCCTTCAACGCCGCGCGCTCTTTCGTTTTCTCAACGTACGAGTATGTAGCTTTTTCGCTTACCAGCTTGTTGACGCGTTGACACGTTGAGCGCAGCAAAAGCCAACTAACGCTCTCTCTTGTGTGCCGCTCTTTTGCTACGCTTTTTCGCCCACAGTCGTGCCACCCAACAGCACTGATGGGCAACCCTGTTCGCTCGCTCGCTTGCTGCTTTTGATTAACTAAAGGCGATGTGTGAAAATTTATTGTTGTTATTTGTTATTTGCCTGACGTGCGGTTCGGTTGTGTGGAGTGCCGTCGGGTTTAAGATATATTCTATTCTATTATTTTATTATCATTTTCAATATAGTAAATGTGTTAACGAAAAGCTACAGAGTTGAGCGCGTAGCGATAAATTTATGATAAACATTTTTTTGTGTTTGATAATGATTCTGATAAATTCTATTGCTTTCGCATTTCGGTGTCAAACATTTGGTGACGAGTGAATAGAATAAGGCAAAGTGCGCAACAAAAAAAAATAGAACGAAGTACATGACAAATACAAAGCATAAGTGACATAAAGTGCCGGTTACAAATGCGGATGCGGATGTAAATGTAAATGCAGATGTTTGTAAAAAATCATAATGTAATGACATGCAACAAAAATATAACAAAAACATGCAGACTACAACAACTGCAATGCAATATTAACAAAAAATATGAAAATAATTGAAATTTGAAATAAACAATAAATGTGGCAGCGCTTTTTATTATAAATAAATATAAATATACATACGCAAATATAAATAAACATAAATATATACATATATATGCAGCGAATTTGCAACAACAACAAAAAAGAACAAGAAATTAAGCAGTGAATCACACTGCTCGTCGGTCGGTGTATAATTTCGTCGATAAATATTTGAATTGCTTTTGTGACAGATAGGAAATAGCCGAGCAAACACGCTCGTACCTATAACAAACACATATACACACATACATACACAAGCTTGTTCGTATGTACATATGTGCAGCTGTATCAGCCAAGCAAAGTAAAGTCAACGTATAACAGACAGCTGAGCGTTTAGTGGAGAAACCGAAATCGGAAATAGCACAAAACATTTGTGGCGTTTAGGTAATACACTCGAAAAAAGAGTAAATAGCAAATCCGCGAACGCGCGTGTGAATTTGGAATTTTTCTTCGCTTTCAATTGTTTTTATTTTCACGCCTTCCTTTCTTTTTGGCACTTTTGTTTGCTTAATAATACATTTATTCTTGGTAAAGCACATTTCTAATGGTAATAAAAGCGCCATACAACAACAAAATTAACGAACAGTAGCGAAAGCAAGCAAATTTCGCACAAAGTGTATGAGTAAGCAGCTAAAGTAAGACAACAAAAACAAGCAAAACAAAAAAAGCAAAAAGTTACAAAAACTAAAATACTTGAGCAAATCGCCAAGCGGAAATACCATTTGACCCAACGCTCGAGCGGGTGCAAGTGCCAGCAAGCTGAGCATAAAGCGCCACATGAGAGCGTTAATGAGGAATGCGACTGGGTGGTCAGCGCTTGCTATAGATTTCACAATAATAATAGTCGCTGAGAAAAGTAATTAAATATAAATAAAAAATATTAATTGAAGAAAAATAAATAAAATATAAATTTAAAGAAAAATAAATTAAATATAAATTAAACACAAAAATAAAATATATTGTATTTAAAAAAAAAATCAAGCAAAACGTTAGTGAAGTGCATAGCAATAGCAAAAAATTCTTACATTACAAACCATAGACAAAAACAAGTGCACATAACTCGTACAAAAACAATAAAAGAAAGGATCAAAATAGAAAAGTCGAAGAAAGAGCGGAAGTGGCAACACTAAAATAGCATAAATCAGCAGGCGGCACACAGCATAGCGGCTTGGAGTGGCTCTGTCATACCAATCGACGTCCCTAGAACTGCTGGTAAGACTCTTCGACCTAACAGCAGCAGCTTCGCGGTGTCATTGAGCTTTGGCCAACACAACTCTGGTGTGCTGATTGCATTGTTGATGCGCTAGCAGTGCAACACCAGCAAAAGTAGAACGAGTATAAGGAGGAAAAAGTACGCGCGTTCACAAGGAAATGTGCTGGCAATAAAGAATATACAAAAGCAAAAACGAAAAAAAATTGTGTGAGCAACAGGAAGAGATCTGCTTTCATGCGTGTGTAAACAGACAAATATTATATATAATTTTAGCCAGCAAGTTGAGGTAATTGAAAGCATTTGGAGGCGGGAATAAAAAGCAAACATAATGAATAAAGACATAAATTCATGTTTGCATTTGTTTGTAGCTCGAGACATGAATTAAATAATTTTTTGCAGCTCGAGGGAAGAAAATAAATTTTTATAGTGTTAGAGAAAAAAAAAATATTAAAAGTTTTATTAACGATAATAATGGAAATGAACAACAACGACGTTAAATAAAATAATATTATGCAACAACAATCGTAAAAAAAACAAAAACAACAACAGTAAGAATAAAAAGCAGTAACCATATCAGTAAACAATCAGCCGTCTGCTGTAGTAGTCTCACAGACAAGAGATATAAATAAATAAAACGCCGAAGATAGCAGCGCAGCGCTCGTACTGCAACAATTACAATAATAACAACAATTAACACAATAATAAACAGCAACAATACAAATCGTCAGTCGAACGTCAGCAACAAATCAACTCACACAAGTCAACATAAGCAGAGTGTGAGTACACATACACACACACTTGATTACAATAAAAACAAATAAAACATACAATCAGAACATATAATAATAATACAAAGCAAAAAGGAAAACAACAATAGTTCAACAAGCAGCTTCGTCAAGAACTGAGAAGAGAAAGGCAACAGCAACACCAACAACAACCACAATCGCCCTAAATTGTGCGCGACTACAAACAAACAGACGGAAAGACCGAAAGGCGGAAAGCTAAGAAACGCAATCGCATAAGCGAGAACACAAACAGATAGCGAAACAAGCAGCTGGTTATATACGGCGAGCGGGAGTTAAGCAGGCGGACAAAGTCAACGCAGTCGACCATTTAGCCCCCAACAAGCGGCCAGCTTGGCCCTGTGTATAGCACGCGCAGCCAGCAGACAACTGTGTTCTGGATCTGGACATATCCGCTTCCGCATTGTGTTTGGCTTCGCTTTCGTGTTGTGTTGTGTTCTGTTCGGTTACGCCTCGTTACACACATGTGTACGTAGTTACGTCGTGGGTCGATTTCGTCTTTTGGCATTTTGGTTTTGGCAAAGAAGACGGTCGCCAACAAGTCAGCTAATACGACACACACGCACACTCACCTAACGCTTGTTGTTAGCGGGAAATATAAAAAACTTGATATATTATATATTGGTTTCACAGGAGCGGGCTCCATTTCAGCATACGAAACGTGGTAACAGTTGAATTCTTCGTGCAACATATTGTACTTTAAGGTAAGTTACAGAACTAGTTGAGTAGTAATTCAGAATATGATTAGTAAACAAAAATATGATTTAATATTTATTATTAATGATTTTATATAACTTTTCTAAAATTTTTGCTAGTAATATTTGCATAAGTTTAGTTGGTTGTTAGTTAGTCTTGTTCCTAACCATAATCCACTTATTAATCTGGTGAAAAACATAATTCTTACATGTTTCTGCAATTTCTTCACCGAGAAAGTTGGCCGATCGAGTCCTCACATCACTTTCTACACTGCAATATCTTAAAAATTGTTTTGTGCAAAGTAAAATTTATTTTAGCGTTCTTCTTAGATCTACGATTGTTTTTTTTTTTGTTACCAGCGTATGTATATGTACTTTTATGCTTTCTTGTTTACTGTACGCTTTTTATATATATGAATTTGAGTTTTTTGAAATTTGAAATTTCGGTCAAAATGTCCAGTTTTTTTCGAGCCTGTGTTATAAACATTTTCCACCCTTTATTGGTTTCCTGGAACTCTGACATATAAAGAGGTTTTATTTTAACCATCCTTAGTTGATCAGGGGAGTCAGGAGGTAGAATATTAGAAGACTATTAAATATCTTCTATGCGATTATAAGGTTCTATGTAGGAAAATAATCGCAGCTATCGGTCCATGGTTTCTTGACGACGTCTCGGAGGTTACACAGATACAATTTTTTGTGCTGATGAACTTCATTAGATGCATGGTTCAGAGAGAAGCCAATAGGGTGAGAGGTCTTTGGTTCCGGTGGTATCACAATGGGCCTCCTAAAGGCCTAGGTGCGGCATTAGACAGTCACTCTAACTAAGAGTGAAAAATCCGGTTTTGAAAAATCACTAACCGCTGTTTATGTTTCTGCTTACTTTTATCTGGTTTCTTCTACCCTCACATCTATTCTTTTATACTCGCGACTTTGTTATCAATAATCATATATATGTCTCAATAGATATAATAATTTGGAGTCATAAGTTAAATTTCTGTCCACTTTTCTCTGTTTTCTTGTGTCTTTACACCATTTCTGCGCTTCTGTACAGAAATCTTCTTAATAATCAGATCTATTAGTTAATGGTTTTAATAATCATTTGCTAGTGATTCGATTATTCTGTTTTGAAAAATCACTAACCATTAGATAAGTTTCTGCACATAGAAGATAAAAGAGTTGACTAATTCGTTATCAGTTATGGTTTTGATTCGAATGTATATGTAGCAAAAGAATCAGGTTTATGCTCCAGATGTTATTGTTGGTAAATAGTTCTGTTTCGCAATGATTTTGAAGGTTTTGACTAATCCATGAACAACACTATTTTCTATTTCTCACTCATTTGATTGTAATGATAATGAGAGTCCTCCAGACACAATGTTTTGAGAGGTAACAAAAAATAAATGTTCTTTTACTTAGTAAAAAATATGGAAAGCCAAAATTGCGAAAAAAAAATGCCAATAGTTAACGCTGGAGGCTAAAAGTAGTGTATGGCTAGAAAATGTCATAATGTAGTATACACAATTATGTAGATATATATTTAAATATGAAAATATACTCGTATATTGAAAGAGAAGTGTTTAGGGAAATGTTTAATCAATAGGTGGCGCTGTGTTCGAATTACATTAAAATTTATATTAAGTGAGGTTTTAAACTTACCAAATTTTTTTGAAAGTATTTTTTTTCGTACACAAACACCATATTTTTGCTTCAGCTTAAAATTTTATCGCTTTATTTTAAACTATCAAATATACGAGCAGTTTTGATTATTATCACATACGACGTATTCTTATAATTTTACAATCCTTTTTAATCACCTATACTGACTAAATATTTCACAATTCTAAAAATAATTACAATTTACACAAAAATATGAATATGGCAAGTCATTGCTTAAATTGCTTGCCAAAAATCTAGAAACAAATATGAAAAATGTTGCTATTTTCCTTTTGATTAGAACCTTATCGGCTTCATCGGCAAGAAGTACTAAAAAATACGACTGTAGGTATCGACTAATTTCCTCGATGATTTATGGGTACAATATACTACATATATACATATGTACCTACATATATACATATGCGCAGCACCCCTTTTGACGACAATGGCTAAAACAAAAAAATACAATAATTGAAATCGAAATAAAATATGGTATGGCAAAAGCAGCAAAGACACTAGCACAGCAAGCGGCGATCACTTGTGCTCACACAACGATCAATAATTGCGGACATAAAGTGCTGAATTGCAAATTGCCATTCGCTGGCAACAAAAAGGGAAGCAAAATTTTATAAAGCAAAAAAAAGAAAACGAAATAAAATAATTAAGTATAAAAAATAATAAGTGCGCCACATGAGAGTCTGTATGCTTATTTGTAGGTACATGTGTTGTACATATTTATACAGAAGTATGTACACTATATGAATATGTATGCAAAATGCGCATACGGCGAAGTATTTCCTTATGTATGCGCGCCGCTGCACTGTGTTGTATGTATGGTTGTCTTATCGCTAATAGCGCAAAACTAAAAAGAACACAAAAATTGTTAATACATGTGTATGTACACATGTACATACAACATTTGCGCCCGCAAAAATGTTGAAACCTTAAAAAAAAACTAAAAAATATATGGAAAAATAACATATAATTTGCGGCAGTTCCTGCTTCTTCCGCGAATTCCGCATTTGATTGAAAATTTTATTATCGCAAAAGCAAAAGCTATTGATTGCATGTGTACATATGTACATACATACATACATATATAAGGTATGCAAATACATATATGATATTCATGTATGTGCGCGCCAGCCTGCACCTGATCGCGCGTCGCCTATCGCTAACACCGCCCGCTTATAAGTACTTACAGCGCGCTGCTAACGCTCCACTAGTAATTGCATATGTATGTGAGTGTGTATGTATGCGCGCCTCTATAGAAGCTAGAAATCGTGGCGCGTCGCCTGCTACCAACCCTTCCGCCTACTCACAGGACGTCAAAACGTAAACGCCAGCGTCGTCGTCGTCGTCGTCGCAATTAGCGTACGATTAAAGTGTGCAAGGCGCAAGACGCGCGGCAAACCGCTTAAATTACGGTGTATGTATGTATGTATGTATGCATGGGTGTGTGTGTGTGTGTACGCGCACGAATATATTGCATGTAATAGCAGGCGTCAGTTAGATTTGCTGTCGTTAACTATTTCTCTTTCCTGGTTTTGATTCTGGCTGGCTGATTTGCGCTCGGTCTTCCCCTCTACAATTTGCAAAGAAAAGCGTGGCGCACAGAAGAAACCGAAAACCTGCGGTCATACAAGTGCATACGTACATACAGTCGGGTATATGTATGTATGTTTGTAGAAACAGATACAGAAGCAGAAGCAAAGCAAATACAATAAATTAAATTCACTTCCGCATTGCTCCACAAATACAGCAACAGCGACACAACACGACAGCCGTCGCAGTAGCAACGACAACGTAAGAGCGCAACAGCAATACGACGTTCAAACGAACGCGCGAAACGTCGGTGAGGAAGACGACGATGACGACTACGACAGAGTTGATGAAAACGACCAAAAACTATGCGCGAAAAATACTGGTCGCCGCCACCGCTGTCGTCGTCGCGCGGTGTTTTGGTATGCGCTTCAACCAAAGCTAGAAGCAACTAAGTGGGAAAGCTGACCCGCGTAAGTCACTTGCACACTTTCAGCAAAAACTTAACTGCGAACATAAATTACGAGTACAATGTGGGTTTGCCGCATGCGCGCGGTGTTCTATGTCGCGAACAGTTCCTTGGTTAGTCGCGCGGTCGGTCGTTTGATTGGTCGCTCGGTCAGTTAACCAAGTGATTAGTTGATAGGGAACTCAGTCGGCCCAGTCGTGCATGACCAGTTTCTGTTGGCGCGGAAAGCGTACCACAGTTTCATAGGAACTAGAATATATTTACATAATGTAATGTGTAAGTACATCTATCTCGGCCACAGATGCTACCCGTCGACCGTCTTAAACACCGAGACAGTGTGCGAATTCGCGGAAATGTGAAATAGAATTCTGGGTTGTTGCTTGGAGGGAGAGGTAGTATGAAAATAATATCTAGTAAAAAAGTTTAAGATTCCAACTTTTCAATGTAGGCGACTCATATGAACTTGCAAGTTTGTAAGATGAATTCCAAATCAGGTTTGCTTGTAGAAAAAAAATCACAATAAAACAGGCCTTATTTATTTCCCCAAATTTGATGTGGCTTAAAAACCACTTGCATACTGAGTATTCTAAACGCAAAACATATATAGACTCATAAACCCCAAGTTTTCAAATAAATATTTTCTCCAAAATTTCCCTCGAAAACTATACGATTTTGCCAATCCACGGAATCGGGAATGTTCTTAATCACTGCCTACCAAATGCACTGAGCATGCCAAAGCATAATAACATTTAATTCGAAAATTTATTTATATTTGAAGATAGACAACAATTTTTGCCGAAGCCTTGAAATTTTACCAAAACAAAGAAGCGGTTGGCTGGAAAATTAACGAGTTCCGATTTGAGGTAAAAATATTCAAGGGACCTTTACGTTCATACAAACATCATCAGACAATTTTGCTAAAGCGTCTTAACATTTTCAATTCGTATTTTAACGCTTTCGTCACCTCATCGGACGCCTCAAAGAAAATTAATTAGGCTGTAAAAACCTTTTCTCAATAAGTTATTTGCAAACACATGATATTAAAAAATTTTATTGCATAAGTTCCTACATGCATTACATGATGCCTTACCCTACTTTATCATTTCTCACGAGAACGCATACTGATTCGGACATACCCACTGTATCCCAGACATGCATCCATGCGAACGGAGCGTAACACCAACCCAACGACCGCAACCAAATCTCAAGCTCAGCGAAGTACACACATATATATTAAAATAAGTGGAAAATGACTAAAGTAGGAAGTGAAGTGCTGAGCGCGTTGCAGTCGAAGTCACCGATGAGTGCGAACGCGGTGGAGAGGACTGCAAACAATGAG